ATCATGTGAAATAAAAATCAGCGAATGTTACTTCTCCAAACTCCGTCATAAGTTCGCTGCTTAAAGTGATGATGTTTTTCAATACGAGCGTAAGTTCAATTACTACTTAAAATTGAAGACAGTCCGATTATTTGAATCTTACTTAACCGAAGTATATAATTGTTCAAGTATTATTTAAGAAAATATTTGAGACAGTTGAGTTTCATCTAGCAAAAAGGTAGACATTCTGACAATTGAAATAAAGAGATGAATAAATTAAAAGACAGATCATGATCCTATTTTAATTTCCTCTCATAACACTATACTGTTAATTAATTTTGATAACCGAGATTTTATGTCAAGAGTAAAAAATTGAGATATTTAATGCGCATATGAAATTATAATTCTATCAGAATAATCTGATTTGTTGAATTCCGACATAATGGGGAATTGTTCTGTCTATGTTGAAAATGATCTACTTCCTATACTCTCTTGTCTGCGAGCTATCGATCGACCGTATTGTGCATAACTGACATTATTATTGTACATGCTAGAATATATCGTTAATTAGGTGCCACCGATAATCAATAAGCATGTGATAATAATTTACCATAAATTGTCTTTTTGAATAATAGATTACGATAATGATTTACGTTGATTTGATTTCTTGCGTTAAAGATAAAATCTTTTGAAATTAATTAATTATTAGATATTCTTTCAATTTTCGATTGTAGGAATTTTTTTGTTTGCAAATTTATAAGGATTGCAAACTATGACATATTTAGATCATAAAAAAGTAACTGTCAAAAAAACACAATTGACGAAAAGCTCGTTTTGATATTAATAAATGTATTTAAGTTTTTCGATAACCGAGTAAAAGAAAACATTGTCATCTATCTTTGTTCTTTTCGTTGGTCAACTTATATTATCGAAAGAGTTGAGATAGGATATCGCAGCAAGACCGAGAGGAGATCAACAATCGAAGGGAAACCAAATCCTTGGCGACGTCTCTCATGCATAATCCAAGAGTTTGTATCTTCTTGAGAAAATCCACCCTGTTCAGGCGTGCTTTCCAGACTAGATATAGATATTTCTGCATCTGCGATATTTTGACATCGCATATTTTAGCGTGATTTTTTAAATTGATTAGCGCTTTATCGTATGCACGAGAAAAATTTTATTACATGTACAAAATTAAAAAAATTAACTATATTAAAATTGAATGGCATGAAAATCTTTGCACGATTACATCTAATTTAAAGTTTAATATTTCGAATGAAAAAGTAACTTATTTTGATTTATTTCCTCAACCGTCAAGTTTTCTATCTCTTAATATATATATTAAGAGAATATTAATATGTATATATATTGAAGGTGAAAAATTTGGACGGGTTTAGGGATATATATATATATATATATATATATATATATATATATATAGACCAAAAATACCATTATATCTAATAATATAAAACTGAAACTAAAGTTTTATAAAAAAGAGCAGGGCAGATTAACAATAGATGCACTGAAAAAAGACATTTGCTTACAATTTCTATTCGGATGATCTTTTTATGACTGTTGAAACGCGGAGGATAGTTGCTAGTAAACCAAACAGAAAGACGCTTCATTAAACCGCTCGCGTTGATGATATATACATTTTCAACTGTTTTATACATTTTTTTCTAGACAGCCTTCTTTCATATGTTGTTCAAATACGCATATGGCCATATGTACTCTTCATTATGAAAAATATCAGCGGTTCCAAAGGGTATAAAGTGCCGAGGGACACGGTTCTACGAGAGCGCTTTTCGCAACTGCATAAATTATACTCATTTGCCTCGGCAAAAATTTACCATATGCTCTTGCGTACAAGTGATATTAAATTCTTATCCGCGAATTGAGTAGATGCAGCTAGATGAATTGACTTCGTTGTCTCTTCGATAATTCCGCCAAACTTTCAATATTAACGACGCGAAATCTCCATTATTAGTCGCGTTGCGACGTGCCTTGCATTTTTTCTGGAATTAATAAAAAACAATTTCCACGCAGAAACGGTTGGCATATATATATATATATAAAATTGAACCAATGTACAAATTTTCTTTACTTCCAACAGGATCTCTGCAGTATCCGCGGAATTCATCTCCGAATAATATTTTTGCTCCACACTTTGCTTTTTTAATTTCACGCCGACATAAAGGCCATTTACAAATTACATGTCTTTCATTCATCGTAAAATTAATCCGACGCAGAATGGTACGCGAAAGCATTCCGGAAGCCCCTTCGAATTTTTTCATTGTGTTTCGGGAGCAGCCGGCGAACTTGCGCCATTTCAATTACTTTATGCAAACGTCGCGATTCCGTAATTTTCCGCCCGTATCGATCAACACGAACCACCATCGTGTTTATGAAAACTCTTTTCTCCTTACAGGCCGCGTTTGCGAAACTATTTCCATCGCAACGAATTGTAGTTTCGAAAAAAATCGAGGCGCTTCGATGCATGCCTGACGTACTTAAACAAAAACGCGAACCTTACATAAAAAAGATTTTATTCCATTCAGATATCATGAATGGACGGATTCGATCAATTTCACTTCGAGTATGACGTGAAACAACGTGATGCTCGCGAGAAAATAGTTAAACGTGGTCGCGGGTTGTACAAAATCTGTATGCGATCGTGATACTTCGACATTTGCGCTAGTAAATTCAGACTCGAAGACGAATCGAAAACGGAGATAGGCTCGCACCCGTGAAAATATTCGATGGGATAGGTGAATACATTTTTTTTACTTTTTTTTATGATGCATGATGATAAACGATGTAAATTTTTTTCAGTGAAGAAAGAAAAAGTGAGGAGCAGTTCCTCTGTGGCATCTTCGCTACGAACAGAAACAAATTTCGTATAGTCGTCAAAACTCTGGACAGCTCATTCTCTTCGTAATTACGTCTTCCTCTTTTTCCTCTCTAACTAGTTTCCGTTTCCTCTTTTATCCCTCTTGCTCTTTTTCATCTTGGTCTAAAGCGCCACATATCTATCAAACAGATCATACCTTTTTTTACTCTAAAACATTTACTTAAAATAATACACTTACCGCATCACATTGCGCTGCTTAATTATGCATTTGCTTTATGAATTTGAATTGCGCAATTTTTTTCGTTAAATTTTTTACACAATCCTTAGCAAATAAAATAAAATTTGTGAATGGCATAGTTGAAATTGATGCAACGGTATTGAAATATCGAAATTCGTTTAAATGAAGAACAAAGTTATTTCCGAAGTTGTCCCCGAGCATTCACCGTTTCGCAGATTTACAACCCCGCCGTCCAATCCATGATATGGCAGTTTCGTCTGCTCGATAGCTATATAGTGCTTTATCCTGAACATGTCTCGTCACTCGCGGGTGATTTACGTTGGCCCGGTCAAGAATCGAAAGCCGCGAGCGATAGCCAAAATTGCGGACGCGTTATTTTTTTGAGGAAACCTATTCATCGGCACCTGTCGTCCTAAAACCTGTCGGCTTTTCCATTGCTGACGGAAAAGAAAAGGGGACATGTTCATATATGGTGACCATTTAATCGATCTCACGGACCGCGAACGAAGGCATTTGCCGAAGATAAATTTCGGCATCGATCGATTGTCGACGATGCGGTGCTACCGACGATAATATTATTTCCTTTCCGTAACCTGACAAAATCGAGCGTTGTACCGATTTATTTGTTGGCGAATTTATTCGGGTTACTGAATCGGGCAAATTAGTGTCGCTCGATGCCGTTTTAGCGATGGGAAAACTTAATAAACGCGGGCGGTCGCGTATTTTACGTGATTTGTATATGAATTATAATGCACATAATTAAACGGTTAATTGAAACATACAGAGTTAATGGCAAACGGGAGCGGCGGAAACGCAAACGAAATCAGCGTGTAAGTGTGTTATCGTAAAATGTTCGGCTGGCCACGTGCGGCTTTTATCACTTAATTGCCTATTAATGTCGAAATTATGAAAATCACTGAAAGATGCATGCGCCGATGGCATACTTTTTAAGAAAATTACATTAAATATCTCTTTTAACATTTAAGTGATATTTAAATAAGACATAAAAATGATAATCCATCATAAATTTATTAATTCATTATTTATTGCGAATAAAAAAACAGAGACGTGTATTATGATTGATGTTGTGTGGATGTTGTGTTTCGAGAAAATGTAATATCTAACGTAATCCGCAGAACATATTTCGTAAACAAAAGAACTGCAACAAATACTGATCGCTTTTATTAAAAAAAAAACAGAAATAAATCCTTTTTTTGCGGATGCAATACGATTGCGGTAGATACGAAATATGGAAAAATATTGTAATTGAATCTGTTGTTTAATATCATTATTTGTATGCATAGAACAGCGATATGGTTGAATGCGTACGTAATTAAAAAGTATATTTGTGAGAGAGAGAGAAAGAGAGAGAGTACCCAAGACATGAATTAATGGCGCGAGGATGTGCGGAATGGTTGGCGATGCAAAACCGGTGGACAACTATTTTACAATAAAACAGCACGCCACACACGCGGGCGTTGCCGAAATAGTTTATCGCGCGCAGGTATACATAAATATTCCATAATGGCAGATATTGTTGGCGGTAACTCAAACAGGCAGGCGGGAATCTCTATTGGGCGTTCGTGAATTAATGAGATGCTGTAGAATTTTACATATAACGAGAAAACATAATCGCATGATTATCGATTTATTGTAAAACAAAATGTTAAAATAATTTCAAATAAAATTAATTAGGAAAGGACTATTGGATTCATTAAAAGTAGCTTGACGAAATTTACAACAAGATTTAATTTTGCTAATAATAGATATGTTTTAATTTATCTAAATATTTTTTCTGCATATATAAAAGTGAGCATACACGTTTCGAATAAATAACAGAAAGTTATTTATAAATGCAATCCTGCATTTCTTCCGCTAAAAATTATACGTCTTGCTGTTGTGTAACTAAAAAAAGAAAGAGATACTTACAAATCACTGTTAGATTGGCCGTCTGATAAGTGGTGGCGAAAGACGGCGCTTCGGTGGAAACTTCGCATTTATATTGGCCGGCAGTCTCCAAAGCAAGGTCCTTCAATATTACCCGTTTTTGTTCGTTGTTCGATGCTATCTGTTGACAGAAAGAATACAGCAAGATATTTGCTTTGCTAATGGAGGATTTTTGTATCGGTACGTGATGTCATCGTATACCGACGGATCTAGACTCGGACTCCACTCGAAGTTAGGGCTTACTTACGCGATTGTGTAAGTGCACATGTATTTTGTGCACGCACCCGATTTTGTATTCGAGACAATCAACGCTTGATTGTATTAGGCGAGGTAATGGAATTTCCAAAGATAACGCGGAATTCAATTTTTCGAATTGAGAATGGTTATAGAATAGCCTGTGTAATACGTACACAATCTTTAATAAATCAATACCAAGATTGTAGTTACAAAGAGACAAATTTTAACAGATGTCGAAGATATATATATATATATATGAATTACAGATGTACAAATTAAACAAAATATAGATAAGAAATGTAAATAGATCAGAAAACTAAAATTTAGATGCATATTATTCTTTACTTAAGAGAAGACATCAAGATTTTTTTATCTATTGATGTTTTTTTTTCTTTATAAAACAACCTTTACACATTTATGCTTTTTCATTTTCCAAAGCTGGTATATGTATAAGTTTATTTGACTGCCTCGTCCAACTGTGTAGAATATTCGTATGTATTTTACGGTATGTTCTGGGAAGGGGGTTAATTAGACTCTACGTACCGTGTGTCTCTACCTGTCACGTTAGCTAGTGCTCGAAGAGTCGTGTTTCTGCTATCGGGACGGTGGTCGCATTGTCTTCGTGGTCCATGCATCGTTGTTCTCCACGTGCGACTTCATTGATAGCGCGGCGGAAGGGGGCGGGGACGTTTGCGGCTTATCGATAATTCATGGTCCGTTACAGGAGCCCGAGATACGGCATCGGCTGCTCTCGCATTAGGTTCGATTAGTTACATCCGCGGTCCAATTAGTTCTCCGCGATATGCGACGACGAGGCGGGCGCGACGACGTGGGCGAGCCCCCTCCCTCCCCCTTTCCTGTTCCGTCATTCAATATAGGAAATCGAGCATTCGTATTGATCGCCGTACACCGATTTGATTGCCGGAAATCCCGCGTATCTCGACATGCCGATACTCGCGGATTGCGATACGGCTCTCGATCGTTCGCCGTCGATCCGCGCGACTTGGTTTGTCAGATTGATGAATATTTAATTCCGTAGCCGTATGCAGTACTAGGATCTAATTAAATTTCAATTCTAGAATCTCTATTTAACCCTTGTGGCAAACGCAAATCCGATTACGACGTAGTAATTACATTATACAAATTTGACTATAATAATTGAGGATTAAATCTAATTAAAATTCGAGTTCTCCAAATTATAGATCAATTTTTAATTCTGAATACATTTCTAGATTCCGTGTACATCGGGTACGTTCGACGTACCCGCTTCATGCGTCTGTATTGCGTAATTTAAGTTCCTTCATGGAGGTTGATTTGAAATGACTCTCGCGCGGAGGGAAGCGGATTATCAACGCGGCTGCTTTCAATTTCGTCGTCGAGACGACCGCGCGCGGATCGGTGCCGCACCTGGCTCGCTGTGCGCATCCGATAAAAGCCGTCTCTTTCGTAATTTCCGGCTACATTAACGGCATCTCCGGCGGTCGTCTCTCTCTCTCTCTCTCTCTCTCTCTCTCTCTCTCTCTCTCGTCGATCTTCCGATATTCTGATAATCCACGCGATCTCAGACGCCAAAGAAAATTGCCATTGGTAGTGACAGGCAGTCTTTACCCTCGATCGACGGTCCGGATGGCTCGCGGTGATGGCTAATTAAAGTGAATTAAGAATTTCAGCTTGTCCGCTATGTTACAGAGATAGGAAACTCTTTGACCAGTCTAATACATCTTGCCTACATTTTCTTCGTTATTGAAAATAAAGTTTAAATACCTTTTTTATCGCAATCATTGCTATAACTACACCATTTGGAATAATTGTTTGGAACACCTTTTGTGTTTCGTAGATAACCTCTCTCTACGATAAAATAATAATAATCTATTAAAAGAGCAATAATATTTAATAATAATTTAAAGAGCATTTATTTAGCACTCATAAAAGAATACAGTGATTATTAACAATTTATTGTTCCTCTCTGTTTCTCTCGTTAAGATAAATTTTTAGTTTTATCTATGCGCTTTTACAATTCAGAGATAAGAAATCTACTATGGAGCTCGCAACAATTGCCGTCTTTTAGAGCCTTCGTTCGTTTTACGAAAGTATACTTACGCAAACAAGCATAAGTCGTTGCCTAATTTTACTCGGCGAACTTCCCGGTTTGCATTTACGAGAGGCGCCTAACGCGCGCAAAAGTTTCGAAGTTGCATAATGCGCCGCCCGATGACACGACAGGATAGATTACGCTCGTAAACCGTCGGAAGGAACGCATTATGGTTGCGGGAATCGAGGGGAAGAAGTACTTCCGCAAGATATTTATCGGTCCTTTTAATTCCAAGTTGTTAAACTGTTGCGTATGAACGCAACCAAAGAAGATTGTCGGTTGTAAACCGAGGGTGCTTTCTTCAATGATGAGAAATACTCGAAATTCCTGGATTGTTTGCGAAAGTAACTTGTGAAAGATTTAGATGTCTCAACATGCAGAAATTCTCGTGCCTGAAATGATTAGAGATATAATCTATTCTTAATGTAAGTCCCTGCTTAATGCTTAATTCTCTTCTTTCACGAGGGAAGAATCGCGCCACCCTTTTTCGAGGATAAAATCTCTTGACGGATAAAAGCACAACGCGATTGTACGTGCGCCGCGATAACGACCCTAGCGAAATACCTTGGCGTTGCGAACGTAAGATGTAATTCCTCAAAATGCGCACGGCGGAACTTACAGTGCATTTCGGAAAGAGCAGCGGATCTTAAACTCTGCGTGCGGATGGCACGATGACTCGCGCATCTCCTGGCGCTGTAGGTTGTAAAAGGAGTCAAAAAAAAAAAGAAAAAGAAATAACGAGGCCGACGGGGACTCGCCGGCGTAATTTCCTCGAGGTAATAAACTAAAAGCATCTTTCCCCGGCTGTATGCCCTTCCACCGAATTTGCCCGCCGTCTGTACCGGCTCAACTAGACTCGACTCGACTCGACTCGACTCGACTCGACTCGACTCGACTCGACTCATCCCAGCGCTTGATTCACCTCGGCTCGGCACAACGTCGGTCTCGCTCACTCTCTATTCGGGAACAAAATTACTTTTACTAACGGATAGAAGCTCGAAATAATTCGAGGGACGAGCGAGGAAGCGAAGTCGGAGAACTTAGGCAAATTCGCTCAGAGCCCTCCTTGACTTCGTCCTTTAAGTTTCGAAATTGTACACCGCTCGCGTATTAAGAGAAGGAGTGGGCGAGGGATGAGGGATGAAACTGCGCCAGTCCAGATCCCTCTCGAAATAGGATACGAGGAGACGTCTCGAAGTTTTCGACTCCCTTGATGACACCGCGCTGTAAAATTAATCGCGCGGAGTGAGATTTAGTGGCGTGCTTTGTGGATGACGAAGGTATCACCTCCCGCGTTAACCAGCCGGTTCGAATTACGACGTTCTCTTTGTTCACCATTGATTAATTAATAATCTCCAGACTTCTGTTTGAGGAGACGATTAAGAGTCTCTCGATCTCTAAAATAAATCGACCATATTAGAGATATTCTTGTAAGATTATTTTAGCCAGAACTTTCATTATTAGCCACTTTTCTTAAATCAAATTTTCCCAGACGCTGTCGATAAGACATTCTTAGTCGTGGAAATGAGGTGCTTCCTCGGCTTTGACTTCACCTTCATTCATCGCGTCGCGCCGGAAGTCCACGTAGGCGAAGTCATTGCACGAGAAATGTCTCGAAAGTCGGCGAAGAGAAAGGGTTGAAAAGGGAAGATTCACGATGTCTCGTTATCGATGTTATGTGTTTCTCTCTTTTCTTCCCCTCCCCCTCTCTCTCTCTCTCTCTCTCTCTCTCTCTGTTGTGTGCTTCTTTGTACCGGTCGACACAATTCCCTGTTTCGTCAATTGAATCTCACAACTTTGTCTACTTACTTTTGTCGCGACCCTGAAGAGGGACTTCAATCTCCCCGAGAAATAGACGGAAATTATACAAAAGGTCGCGCAACAATCAGCCTCTCCTCGGGAATGCGCGAGAAGAGAAACGCAGATAGGGAAGAGGCGGTTGGTTGGTTGCAGACGTGAAAGTTTTCGAATTCCGGATAACGAGATGTTGATTCGCAACTTCTTACCGCGGCTGCAAGTATAATATCCGGGGAAAAGGGAAGAGGGAGGGCAAACCTTGCACGCGCGACTCGACTCGCTGCAACGTCCTCGCTAATCTACGTCGTCGAATGGAACCTCAGCTCACTCGACGCAGGAAAGACGTTCTTAGGTACTTTCCGGAAAACGCGAACGCCATAGTAATTTGTCTTTCGTCTGCACAAGACGTTATTAAAGCGGAAGTAGTTGCGGACAAGCAACTGCAGACGCGTGATGAACGAAGTGATTTTCTTATTACTGTTCTTGCATCTTATTCTATGCATCTTATTCTTAATTTTATTTTATACCATTTATAAAATATTATTTTTAATATTTTAGAAAAATAAATTTAAGAAAAAATAAGTGCAGATTTTTTTGAATGTTTTGTCTCGACATTTTTCTACGATTTTAACAGTGACAGTTGCAATATATAATAATAAAGTATAAAATAATAAATTTTCTAAATATTTGACACATGTTATTATAATTATTTGGAAAATATATTTATATCGCTGACATTCTTCTTTAATATAAACGGCTTTTAACTTAAAATTAATTTTAATTAAAAATTACAAGTCAACTAAGCAGAAGATTATGCAAATGTTCATTTACAACATTCAGCTGCTACTTCCCTCGGATAGAACAATCTTTTCCTCTTAGGGAGGGTGAATTAGTGACTGTAATATCGTAACGCCGTTGCACCCTCATCCTATTGCGGCGTAGGATAATTACATTTACTTGACTGTAAACTCGAATTCCTTTTCTCCGCGGTTCTA